AACCCATATACGCGGTATAGTCTACAGCTGTGGGCCTCGTATCCTGGATGAAATCCTACCTGTGAGCTCACCTGTCTATGTACGCCGCACGGACTACGGCCCAGTCGGTATGATGCGAAGTAGGTCTCCGCCGACGATCAATCTGCTCGACAGGATCTGGCACATGCTGAGAGAGCGTAAACTGTCGTAGCACACGGTCAGGGACATACATCTCCACGATCTCCCAACAAATTAATGGAACCCTGGCTCTCCACAAGTCGGGACTATCTCGGCAGATGGGTGCAAGAGAATGCATATCGTGCACCGGTGAACCACCTTTCTCCGCCATCAACCGGGTCCGAAGATACTTCGTAGACAGTCCCCAGATTTTCTCTTTTGAGTGCTTCAAGATAATGAGGTAAGATCTCATATGATTTATCCCAACCCCCGAATATTTTTATCATCGCCTTCCTCCTAGCATTCCAACACTTGTGATATGATACATCCAAGTTGGTGGCTTTATGCACTAAAAGACGGATATCTTTCGGCCTTAGATCAAGATCCTCCCTCAGATGCGGTAAAATCAATCGATATATAAAAGAAGAGGACGCATTCTTGTTATTCATCTCTAATCGAGGATTGCTACAAGTGTGGAGTCCATTGTATGCCGTGATTTTGAATTGCCCGCCTACTCTTACACCCTGAGCGTGAATTAAGCTTCCACGGACACCTCACATTGCCGTCATGGTGTCCACTATTATCTTCGACATCGTCATCTTTGCGATAGAAACAAACCACATTATAGCTTGTAGTATTATTTTTGGTTGGCCTGAACTTCACATTTTTTTGTAATGGAATACGTGCGAATAACATGGATCAATTTCTCCTTACTCTCGTAAAGATCTTCCTTTATGAATGAGAAGTCCTCGGCCTGTGTATCAACACCGCTATTAGTGCTAATAGGAACACTTTCCATCACGGAGTTATCAATCCATTCATCTCCTTGAAGTTCATCGGGCGGCGTATCCTCTAAGACGACATACTCATTATTAACATAACATCCATCGATGTGTTGGTTTTCCCCGTCATCACGATCTATCAATGTCATGTTATTAATTTGTAATCCCTCTTCTTCTTCATCATTCTCGGATTCGACACTTGCATTATCTTCTTGAATTCCCGTGTTAGTATCGAAAGCATTCGAAGTGCCCACGAACGAAGGACCGCTCATGTATTGTGATTGTGTCCAACATTCATCTTGTTGAGGAGATAAAAAGCCTACAGAATCAACTTCAGGATCCTCCAACATGCGGGAATACATTCCTTCGTAGTTCAACGATTTGCCCAAATCTCTCTGATGTTTTTCAATGAACAATTCGACCGAACGCTTCTCGTCGTGTAAGACATGAATGAGACCCATATCGTAGTCACTTGATATTTGAATGCCACTTGTTCTGTTCTCCACAACAGGATAATTGCAAACCACACTGAGGTGATACTCACGTGAGTTAGTTAATGTAAGTTTGTGTAATTCATTAACCAACTCATCGAAAGTACACGATTTTGTTATGAACAACGGTCTCGTCGTGCCTCCTTCATAAACGGGCATATTATTTTCGAGGTAATTAATCTTCCCATCATAAGAACAGAGAATTACGATTCAATCGTTCATCGTTACCTCTGAAGAGTGAAAAATTCAAGATCAATATTACACGAAAAGCAAAATAAATATTGATTGTTACTAATTTTTACATTTTGGTAGTAACCCTAATTTCCACATTAATTCACAATTTCACCTCTAAATGCACAAAATTATTTAATTTTTCTTCACAAAATTCGTAAATAATCCACAATTAACTAAATGCACAAAATTATTTAATTTTTCTTCACAAAATTCGTAAATAATCCACAATTAAATTCTAAATGCGAAAATTTGTCCTTCGTAAATAATTCACAATTAAATTCTAAAATCTAATATATGTCATACATATATATTAACACTATTTTTCGCATTTATTGATAATTTCCCCTCTAATTTCACAAAATTATAGATAATTTCCACACTAATTCCACAAAATTATTAATAATTTCCACACTAATTCTTCACAAATTTCACAAAATTAATGATACTTTCCCCTCTAATTTTCACATTTATTGATAATTTCCCCTCTAATTTTCACATTTCTTCACAAAATTCGTTACTCATAAAACTCCACGGGAGTTCAACTCCCGTGGAGTTATAGGCCGCATTTCCCAGAGAGCGCTCTCTGGGAAATGCGGCCTATAACTCCACGGGAGTTGAACTCCCGTGGAGTTTTATGAGTAAATTAAACTTCACGGGAGTTCAACTCCCGTGAAGTTTAAAAATACATTAAACTTCACGGGAGTTGAATTCCCGTGAAGTTTTGAAAAAATTTTAACAAAAACCGACCTGTTTTCAGCGCTAGGCTGAAAACATGTTGGTTTTTATAAATTTTTTAGAAATAGGTCGTTTTTTGCAAATAAAAACTAAAAGGGTCTGTTTTGAAAATTTGTCCTTTTTTTTTTTGCTGTTTCTCCCTTTTCTCCTCCGCTTCTCGCGATCTCGGAATGCTTCCCTCCTCCACTCCTCTTTCACTCGCACGATTCAAACCCTAATTCTCCCAATTCTAGCATCTCATAAACCCCAGCATCGCCGCGATGGCGTTGATGGCGGTGCTGGAGTCCGATCTGCGAGCTCTGTCCTCTGAAGCGAGAAGACGATATCCAGCGGTGAAGGACGCCGCGGAGCATGCAATCTTAAAGGTCGATGTCGATTTCTCGCACTCAGATCTGTGTTATGATCTTCTCTACTTGTTCCGTTTCGTTGAACATTGAAATTTGATTGAAATCTCGAAAGTTTGGGTTCTAGTGGTTGGATTTAGTTGTTCTTTGTCAAATTATGGCGATTTTTGAAAAAATTGCTTGAGTTTTTGAATGTTAGGCCGTAATGCTTTATTTCAGTTGGATTGGAGCTTAGATGTAGTTATTTAGCAAATATCATTTATTCAGTTGCATTTGAAAACTGAGACCTTGAACTATAAGATCTACTTCTTCATCTCCTTTACAGTGAAGTTTTGCTCAGTGTGATTAAATTAAATTTCTTTGGACTATTTGTTTGAAACCGGAATTTGGGCTAATTTTAGTTGCAACTGAGTGTCTTATTTTAGTTGCATTGACACCTTCTCCTCAACACACACATAAACATTGCTTAATAAACTCATGCAAGTTGTTTCTAGAGTTTATTTGGAATATCGAGAAATTTAGGGTCCAGTTGATGTGGAGTCGATCTTGATAGTGGTAAAAATTACATTGATTGCAGGAATATGAATTGCTTTCACCTTAAAATTTAAGCTCAACACTTTTCTAGTTGTGATGGAGACAGGAAGTCTAGCTCTTTTGACTTCAAGTCTTGCCCTTTTTGGCAGTTTTGATTGGAATCTTGAAACTTAGGCTCTAATGCTTCATTTGATTTTTGATGGGCGATGACAGTTTTGAACAATCTTTGTAAACTTGGGGAACTTTGTTTGAGTTTTGAAACTTCGGCTTCCTAGTTAGTCTGATATGGATTCAAATAGCATTGTTTGACAAGGACTATCCATAACTTGTAGCTGCCCAAAATCAAATGCTGATACAAATCAGATATGAGGGAAACAAATGAGAGTTAAAGTTATACAATAGCTCTTTTGAATATAATAAAATTTCTCAAATAAGAGTCAATCAATGTGCTGAGTACCACTAAAAACCTAAAATTTGATGTCCAGATAACAAAATCCGGTTTTACATACACTAATCTATGATTGATACAATTTTAATCTTTTGATCAACACTAAAAACCTAAAATTTGGTGTCCAGATGACAAAATCTGGTTTTACATACACTAATCTATGACTGATACAATTTTAATCTTTTGATCAACACAAATATCGGAATAGAATATTTTACCTATATTCATATTCATCCCCATACCCCCACAAATTAAAAAAATAAAAAAGATATCCTTGTACCTTAATGAACACTTACAATCTTGAACCTAATTGGCTACCCTTCCAGATACAGATGTTAGTATATCTATTATATCCTTCTGTATCCTTATGGACCACAAGTCATTTTTGTTATTTGACCAAATTTTGGTTTTTGGATCTTCAAATGCAAGCCTACCTAGCCTACCTATTCATTTAGCAAGATAGTCTTCTTTGTTGTTCAAAAAAAAAACTTGATGAATGTAGTACCTTTCTTTGGTAACTTTGCATGCCATCGTTGGGGTGATTTAAAACATTAACTCAGTGACCCTTTTGGGTTTTTGTAAGTGTTTTGACATTGTTAGAGCTTTATTGTTATAATTGGGATTTAAGTTTATTGTTACATGCAGCTTCGCTCTCTTTCGACTCCCAGTGAAATTGCTCATAATGAGGATGTCGTACGAATATTCCTAATGGCGTGTGATGTAAAATCAATTAAGCTGAGTGTTATTGGTCTATCTTGTCTGCAAAAGCTCATATCACATGATGCCGTTGCTCAATCTGCTCTTAAAGAAATACTTTTCACTCTGAAAGATGTAAGTTTTCACTCATATTCTTTGTTGCTTATTTCCTTTCTTTAGGTTTACTGGACACAAGCCCACATAATATATATATATAATACCATATATATATATATATATATATATATATATATGAGATTAATGGGTGTCCTTGTCATAGGAGGGGATTTCCTCCTATGACGCCTTTAAAATCACATGATTGAGCGACATTGTAGATGATCCGTTCCGTTGAACTTGATCTACATATTCTAAAACCCCAACACACCAAGTTTGGGGTGAACCCGTCGTCGTTTGACCCTTCATCCACTCGTATCAATTTTAACGGTTTTGAATGAATAGAACTTTTCACATGGCTCGATGGAGGGTCAAACGACGACGGATTCACCCCAAACTTGGTGTGTTGGGATTTTAGAATATGTAGATCAAGTTCAACGGAGCGGATCATCCACAATGTCGCTCAATCATGTGATTTTAGAGGCGTCATAGGAGGAAATCCCCTCCTATGACAAGGATACCCATTAATCTCTCTATATATATAATATATATAAAATATATGTAATATATATAACATTATATATATATATATATATATATATATATATATATATATATATATATATATATATACAGCGCCTTTCTCATGCGAATCAATTCGTACGCATTGGAACGATTTTGGGCGATTTTGGGTTTTTTCGCAAAAAAACTCCGCTAATTGACTTCGAACTCGTGACCGTACTTGGGATTGAAAGAGGGGGCTTTTTTGCAAAATGTCACCGAAAGCATCTCTCTTAAATCCCTCTCGTGACCACTCTCGTTATCCCCAAAATAAAATCCCCAAAATCAAATCCCCATCACCGACTTCCCCCAAATCCATCCCCGTCACCGCCGACCGCGACCCCATCACCGCTGGCCGCGACATCCCAATCTTCGACCGCAACTCCGACGGACTCATCTCCCCCTCGTTGTCGCCCCCCCAACTCCTCCACGACACCACCGTCGCCTGAGAACTCCGGACAACTCCGCCGCTGCGATTTGTATCAATCAACGAATGAGAGACTGGAGTCCGATCGAAGCGGAACCGGAGGTGAGCGAATGAGAGAAGATGAGAGGAGAAGGAGCATATATTTTGTGCGTTGAGGAGAGAGAATGAGAGAAGCGATACAATAATTTTGTTATTAGAGATTAAATATTATTATTACCTTAATTGATCCAAAAATATCTTAATAGTTGGAAAAATCTTTTTCAGCGAGATATTTTAACTAGACCGGTACGTATCTAAGATCCCTTAAATAAACCCCAAATTTTAGAAGACAGTTTCTTTTTTAACACAATTTTATTGAGAGGTACAGGTAAGATTTGATTGGGTTATAAAAGAAGAAACATAGATGAAGATGATTGTACACGTTTCAAAAAAATTTAAGTTTGTTTCCTATTGTAATGATTGTTGTTGATTGTTTCAAATGTAATCATCAGTGTCATGAGATTTGTGAACAGATTTGGATTGTGGAGTTGTAGATTGTTGACTGTTTCAAATGTAATCATCAGTGCAAACCAGTTCGCGAGTTTCTCCATCTCCCCTCCACCACCGTCACCCCTGTCCACCTCATCTCCGCCTCGCCGCTCAACCACGACAGCCGCCAGCCCTCACCCCCCGAGCTTCGTCGTTGCCCACCTCCAGCTCCTCGAGCTTCGCCCAGCCCAACATCCGACCGCCGAGCTCCTCCATCGAGCTCCGACGCCATCACTCTTCAAGCTTTTATCTTTTTTTTCGCTTTTATATCAGCATTAATTGATTCTTGATGTGTATAAATTTTCTTGTACTACTCATTAACCAATCATTCTTTCCCCTCTACGTACCAACTTTGTTTAATTTTGAGATCTCATGGTGATTCTAACAGAGCTTGTACTGATTCATGAGGAAGAATCCATATTAGAAAATAATTTGTTCTAGTTCATGATTTTATTAGATTATAATTCTTATTGGAAATTGTTGCTGACCTTGGATTGCAAATGCAGGAAGCAGCAGAGGTTGCAAATACAGGAATCAGATTATAATTTTTGTCAGATTTTTTTGTACTTTAGTCACCAAATATCTAAAAAAATCCACTCAATACATATAAATACTTCAAAAGAACACCATAAGCGAGCGGATGCATTCACTTGGTAACATTTAACAATTTGTCCATCAGTTGAATCATAATAGATTTTCATACAAAAGTCTAGACAAAGGAGCAGCTACTAGTTCTGAATGAATACATAAATGTCATCTCTCTTTGCTTTGCCTGTGCTCTCTTCATATTGGCATACCCTTGGGGAATATCTGATCCTTAATCCACATGTAAATGGGCACCAGGACATAGTAGGTTGCGGCGTTGGTACCCAAAATGAAACGCAAGAGGAAGGAAAATGGATTGACATGCTTCTTCACATCCTCAACTTTTGACCCATCTGCGCAGAGATGACACAAATCAAACTCAATAAATCCAGATTAAACATGCAAGAATTTGATACTCGCAACTGTGATTAAAAAGAGGATTTTAAAGCTACAAAGATGTCGAACTAGATTAGACCACCTAGGAACTGCAAGTGTAGGTAATCTGAAGGAGTGGAATGATATGAAGTTGAAGCGAATCCTTGTTGACTACTTCTTGCGCAAGTGTGACATTGTTTTTGCCACTAAACTGGCAGAAACTTACAATATACAGGTAAGCTTTTTACCTTTTGCCACTAAACTGGCAGAACTTACAATATACAGGTAAGCTTTTTACCTTTAGGAATTTCTAAGACAAGAGTGGAAGACATCTAGTATGAATTTGATGCTTAATATCAATATGGCCAAAGATTTTCTATGAGTTGCTTCATTTACATAATGCAAATATGATTTTAACATAACTCACTTCTTTTATAGCACCATCAAAAAGATTTTTCTTCATTGAATTCAACTGAGGTGGATATAAAATGCTAATAACAATGTTGTCATAGATGCGGTAGTTTCACGAGGTTTTTTTTTTCCATCTCTTGAGGTTGTGTCTGCCATGGTAAATTAGGAACAGATCTTAATCTGGTGATTGTCTTCATTCTACAGCTTTCGAAAAGGAGAGTTTGCTGATAGAAGCTTTGAGATTTCCTATAGGTGTAACTGAGTATGAAATGGTTTCACTAGATAAAACACTAGTAAGCGCTCTTCTTATTTTCTTTGACGTGATTCTACAATAAGCACACCACCATACCTGTTTGTTCTAATAACTAATTTGATCACTTTTGCGTATTATCCAATTATCATAAACTTTCTTGCTGTATTATAATCAGCCTTGTTATCAATTGCTTAAGGTAACAAGAACCGGAAAGAAAGAACAGAGAATCAAACAAAACAAAACAATAAATGCTTAAGGCAGCGTTTACTTCACCTTATTACTAGGATTAGGATTAAGACTCCTGGGATTAGACATTAATGAAAAATAATGAAAAATAATGAAAAATAATGAAAAATGAACACCAATTGAAAGAGTACACAAAAGCCAAATTGTCTAACCTGAATATCTCCGGGGCCGTTGGTGGCGAGATCTCACTGAGGAGGCGCTGCAGATCGGTGGTGAAGGTGAGCGGAGCTCGGAGTGATGTCGTCGGAGCTCGACGGAGGAGCTCGGCGGTCGGATGTTGGGCTGGGCGAAGCTCGAGGTGCTAGAGGTGGGCAACGGCGAAGCTCGGGGGGTGAGGGCTGGCGGCTGTCGTGGTTGAGCGGCGAGGCGGAGATGAGGTGGACAGGGGTGACGGTGGTGGAGGGGAGATGGAGAAACTCGCGAAGCTGTTTGGGACCGGATCTGCTTGATGGCCGGAGAGGGGGCGCGACTGGGATCATGCGACGAGCGACACGTGAAGGGATTGCCAGGAAGGGGGGATTGATTCGGCTTGGGGAGATTCAGATGGGAAGGGAGGATGGGAGGAGTTGGGGTTGGGCTTGGCGGAGGGGAGGATCGTGGAGAGACTTTGGGCTGGCCGTCGAATTGAGAGTTACAGGATGGGAATTTCTTTTTGGGGAGAGTTTTGGGGGGATGATGCAGATGTGGAGGGGAGGATGGAGGAGTTGGGGTTGGGGTGTGGGGAGGGGAGAATCGTGGAGAGACTTTGGGTTTGGGGAAGTTAGCAGATGGGAATTTCTTTTTGGAGAAGCGCTAGCACATGGGTTTTTTTTTCAATAAGCCCAGTTGACTACAACGCAGGCGGCTTCTCCATGTTTTGGGCATAAATGCGTACGTATTTATGCGTACTCGAAATGGACTCTATGTATATATATGTATATATGTTACATATATATATATATATATAGTACATGTGTATACATACATACATACATATATATATTAGATATATATATATATATATATATATATATATATATATATATATATATGATATATATATATAATTACATACATACATACACACAACCCACATATATATATATATATATATATATATATATACATAGATATTTACATATCTATATGTATGTACATATCTATATATATATATATATATATATATATATATATATATATATATATATGTATAATATATATATATATATATGTATATAGATATCTATATGTATATATGTATATAATATGTGTGTGTGTTGTGTAATATATATATATATATATATATATATTATATATATATATATATATATATATATATATATATATATGATAGAGAGAGAGAGAAGAGAGAGAGAGAGAGAGAGAAATGGAGCAACTTGGTACGCAAGTTGCTGACAGCAACTTGGTACCAAGTTGCTCCAAGCAACTTGGTAGTGATGTGGCATAATATTGTCCCTACATCACACCCTCGAAGATAAAACCTCAACCACCCTTCACCAACTCCAATGTAGATATAGGGACAAGATTAGGCCACATCACTACCAGTTGCTTGGAGCAACTTGTACCAAGTTTCTCTATTTTTCTCACACACACACACACATATATATATATATATTATATATATATATATATATA